CAGAGCTAACCTGGGAATGCAGTGGCTGGGTTTTTGCTCCTGGGAGTGAGGATGGGGGAAGTTGTCACTAAAGCTAGGGCGCAGGCCACACCAAGTGCTGTGGACCAGTCTGCTTTCCTGCAGGTGCTCAGAAATTTTTGCAGCCCTCCCGACCTGATTAAATAGCTCAGAGGGCTGGTGGGGGGGAATCCTGAGCTCCGATGCCCTCAGGAGAGTGGAAGGGGGAAGCCTTGCCGTGACTTCCAGTTGTGCATCACTGCTCAGCCTCATGAACAGAACCACCTGAAATTCTCCCTGGACGTGGCCCCTCAGGACTCTGTGGGATGGACCCTCTTGAGGTCCCCACTGCATTGGTACAGTCCAGTTGTGAAGGACAACACATTGTCTTGATTTTGGCTGCAGCAAATTTCTTTTAAGGGCTCAAGATATTTTGCGGCCGGTGCCGCGGCTCACTAGGCTAATCTTCCACCTGCGGCGCCAGCACCTCGGGTTCTAGTCCCGGTCGGGGCACTGGATTCTGTTCCGGTTGCTCCTCTTCCAGGCCAGCTCTCTGCTGTGGCCAGGGAGTGCAGTGGAGGATGGCCCAAGTGCTTGGGCCCTGCACCTGCATGGGAGACCAGGAGGAAGCACCTGGCTCCTGCCATCGGATCAGCGTGGTGTGCCAGCCGCAGTGCACTGGCCGCAGCGGCCATTGGAGGGTGAACCAACAGTAAAAGAAAGACCTTTCTCTCCGTCTCTCTCTCTCACTGTCCACTCTGCCTGTCAAAAAAAAAAAAAAAAAAAAAGATGTTGTGCCAGGTCTGGCCTTTCCTGGCCCACCTGCCCATGCCTTTATACCCTAAGCATGACCACCTCCCTGGCCAAAAGAAGGCTCTGGTGATGATTTAGGCCTGTACATGGGCACACTGAAGTCGTCCACTTGGTCTGGAAGTGAGAAATTATTGCAGCCCTTTCAAGCCTGGAGACAGTTTCCTGAGGAGGCCTGGCAGCCTGTCACAGAGCAAAATAACCTTGACAGCAAACCCGTCTTCCTGGACCCGGAACCTGCCCCTTCACCTTCGTCCCCAGCTTCTCTGTGCCCTTCACTGTGCAGGGCAGGGCTGGGGATGACTCGGAAGACGCTCCTCTGGCTCAGGGCGTGCGGTTTCCGTGGGGAAGACCTGAGCTTGCTGGGCCAGGGAGGATGCCATCAGCCTGGCACGTGGGCTTCCCGCTCAGCAGTCAGAGCTAATTATTTTAAAGAGGATCTGTTACGGTTGTCTTTCTTGCAGCCTTTACATACACATTTGTATCCTGCTCCTATGCTGTTCCTTACCCCTGCCTTCCTGACCCTGGAGTCGGTTCCCTTTATGGTTTCCTAGACCCTGCTTGGGTCTGATGCTGAATACTATTCTGCTAGTACTAACACCACTCTCACCTCTGAGGTTTGCTACTGTACCAGGTAAACATTTCGCCTGGTCCAGCTCGGCCCACCTTGGCTAGCACATCTCCCAGGAGCCACCTGCAAGTGTGAATGGGATCATTACATGGCCAGTTTTGGAAGCATTATCCTGTCCCCCACACCTGCCTCTTACCATGTGTTCTTGCTCCTTGTTGAGACACTCCTCTTTTCCTTCCTTGTTAGCACTGTGTCCCTGAAGTCTGTCAAATCTCTCCTCCCACCTCCGTCTTCATTCTGCCACCTTAGTGTAGGCTCATCATTTGCACTGAGACTATTTTTTTTCCTGGTGTCTCTGGATTCACTCCTGCTTCATCTCACCCTTAATGCTTCCACAATGACACCTGCATGGCATATAAGACACAAGCTTGACTGTTTCCTTAGGAAGCTACTCCAGGGATCCCCTGTTGCTGCAGAACTCAGTCCAGAGTCCTCAACACGACAATCTTTCCTGTTCTGACAGCTGCTGTGCTCGCCTGCTTTGTTTCTTGACAGCCGCCTGCCCCCACCACCTCTGGCAATTTCTTACCATGTGCTGTGATTTGAATATGGTTTGTCCCCACCCAAACTCGGTGGGGATGCATGGTCAGCAATGTGGCAGTATAGAGTGTACTGGGATCTTTGAGAGATCACTGGGCCATGGGGATGCCACCCTCCTGAAGGGGTTAATGTCTGTTGAGAGACTATGTTGCTTCTCTGAGGGGTGAGTTAGGCTTCATGGGACTGGTTGTTAGGTTACCCTGGGTCTTTGCTCTCCTCCACACGCTTGCTCCCTGCCTTGGGTGGATACGGCTTGAGGCCCTTGCCCAAAGCCAAGCAGGTGTCAGAGCCAAGCTCTTGGACCTCCAGAGAACTGGGAACTAAGTGCACCTCTTTTCTTTACAAATGCCCCAGCCTCAGGTATTTGTGATAGTAACAGAGTGGACTAACGCAACCTTCCACCTCCCAGTCTTCACATGATGCTTCCATTGCCTGGAATTCTCTCCCCCTTCCCGTTCATATCAGATAACCCTCCACTCGTTCTTTAAAATAAAAGTCAGGTGTCCTCTCTTAATAAACACCACACTAGCACCACTCATGTCCCGATGGAAAAGGGGTTAGGGTGATTTTTCACTTTCTACATATCATATTTTGTTGGAATTTTCTAGAAATGTTACAATTTTCAAAAACAGTGAAGATGATTTTGTGAACTTCTCTGTGAAAATTCACTGCTGTTCCTCTCCAGGAATTAGTAATATCCTCAGATTGTCTTTTTCTTTTAAGATTTATTTATTTATTTGAAAGGCAGAGAGAGAGACACACACAGACACACACACACACACAAAGATCTTCCACTTGCTGGTTCACTTCCCAAATGGCGGCAACAGCCAGGGTAAACTGGGAGCCTGAAACTCCATTCATGTCTCCCACGTGGGTGGCAGGGGCCCAAGTGAGTGGGCCATCTGCCATGGTCTTCCTGGGCACATTGGGAAGCCGGACCAGAAGCAGAGCAGCCAGGACTCAAACCAGCCCTCAAAATGGGCTGCAGACATCAAACTCAGCGGCACAATCCACTGTGCCACCACGCCAGCGCCTCCTCTCCCATAGTCTTTTAAGGCATTTGTTCATATATTATATTTATAACAGATTACAAAACACTGCCTTTTTTTTTTTTTTTTTTGACAGGCAGAGTGGACAGTGAGAGAGAGAGGCAGAGAGAAAGGTCTTCCTTTGCCGTTGGTTCACCCTCCAATGGCCGCCGCGGCTGGCGCGCTGCAGCTGGCGCACTGCGCTGATCCGAAGGCAGGAGCCAGGAGCTTCTCCTGGTCTCCCATGCGGGTGCAGGGCCCAAGCACTTGGGCCATCCTCCACTGCACTCCCGGGCCATAGCAGAGAGCTGGCGTGGAAGAGGAGCAACCGGGACAGAATCCGGCGCCCCAACCGGGACTAGAACCTGGTGTGCCGGCGCCGCAAGGCGGAGGATTGGCCTAGTGAGCCGCAGTGCCGGCCAGAACACTGCCTTTTTAAAAAAAATACTTTTCTTCTCAGGTAAATTATAAGCAGCTGAAGGACAGGACCTGTATCTTATCCAACTTGGTGCCCCAGCACTTAGCACAATATTTGTTACATACGAGGTTAATAGGATAAGCACAGTGATTGGGCCCCTGCCATCTGTAGGGGAGACCTGGATTGAGTTTCTGACTACTGGCTTCTGTGTATGACTGATTGATTTGAAAGGCAGAGTGCCAGAGAGGAAGACCCAGATATACACACACACAGAGAGGGAGGGAGGGAGAGAGAGCTTCCATCTGCTGGTTCACTCCCCAAATGCCCACAACGGCCAGGCTGACCTGGGTTGAAGCCAGGAACTCCACCTGGGTCTTCCACCCGGGTGACAGAGGCCATCCTCCACTGCTTTCCCAGGCACATTAGCAAGGAGCAGGATTGGGAGTGGAGCAACCAGGACTCGAACCAGCACTCTGATTTAGGATGCAAGCTAAGTCACCACTTGGTTGCCACATCTCCTATCAGAGTGTTGGTTGGAATCCCAGTTACTCTGCTTCCAATCGAGCTCCTTGCTAATGCATCTGGAAAGCAGCAGTGATGGCTCAAGCACTTGGGCCCCTGCCACCCACGTGGGAGACCCAGATGGGTTCCAAGTATCAGCCTGGCCCAGCTCTGGCTGTTGCAAGCATTTGAACCAGTGGATGGAAACATCTCTGCTTCTCTGTCTCTCACTCTCTCTCTCTGGCACTCTGCCTTTCAAATGAATTAATGAAGAAAAGAAAAGAGATGTTGGGGCTGGCGCTATAGTGTAGCGGGTGAAGCCACCACCTGCAGTGCCGGCATCCCATATGGGCACTGGTTCGGGTCCCGGCTGCTCCACTTCCCATCCAGCTCTCTGCTATGGCCTGGGAAAGCAGTAGAAGATGACCCAGGTCCTTGGGCCCCTGCATCCACGTGGGAGACCTGGAAGAAGCTCCTGGCTCCTGGCTTCAGATCGGCACAGCTCCGGCCGTTGCAGCCAATTGGGGAGTGAACCAGCGGATGGAAGATCTCTCTCTCTCTCTCTCTCTCTCTAACTCTTCCAAGTTAATAAATAAATGTTTAAAAAAAAAGAGAGAGGAAAAGAAAAAAGTCTCCTGAGTGTATGGCACAGTGGATGAAAAGCAAATTGTCATGAAATTCCAGAATGTGGGGGTCAAGGAAGAGACCCAAAGGGTTATCCAGGGGTTGGAGGGACAGAGAGAGCAGCTTTGTGCAAGTTATCAAGTATCAAAATGGCCTCGATTTCCAAATAGCCACCCAGAAAGTTAAAATGCAAGGAAGTGATAGTTTCCAACGTCCAAGGGAACATTATTTCCAGCCTAAACTTCTGCATTTGCCCGAAACTCTCTCGAGGAGAGAAGGGTGCATTTTCAGACAGACCAAGTCTGAAAAACTCTACTGCCATAGAGATCGAGGGCACTTCAAAGATTGTGGGAAAGGGGAAGTGAAAGACAAGTTTTTCCCAATGCAAAAAGTTTTATGAAATCCATGCAGAATTCTTCCATAATGCACATTTTCCATGAACTTTTTGCAGACCCCTTGTGCCCTTTCCTCCATTGCTCCTGGGAGACGGACTCAGCAGAAACCAGGAGGCAGACAAGAGGACAGCGAGGAAGACGGGGTCTTCCAACCAAGCAAGGGTGGGAGCCCCCGACTGATGCGAGGGGTGTCGCCCCATGGCAGCCCACCAGGGACCAGTCCAGACTGGAGGCCACCAGCAGCCAGAGTCATTTCATCCAGAGATTTTGACCTCTTGTGAGGAGAACAATTTGGAGGATCCCGTGGGGTTGAATTTGTGGTGAGTACATTGAAGCCTAAGGGGACAAAAAGAAGATCGTCATAATATGACTATCACTGTAGCCAAAGTGTGACTGTGTTGGGATGATGTGGGGGCTGGGACGTGTGGGTTTTAAGGTTTGGTGATAGGAGGGAGTGAAATCTTATCCTCCCAAGTGGGAAGTCGTAGGGATCCAGCTGGCCATGATGGTGGTTGTTTGGTAACCCTGAAGGTCAGCCTAAGCCCCTTGTCAGGGTAAACAAAGCCATTAAGATAACAGGCCACCCTTATCTGACATTCTTATCTGAGTGTCTTATGAATGTTAATATTTCTGGAAAAAGCCCAGCTGTGTTCAAATTAGCCAGCCACCTTTGTCTAGGATGACCTTTTTCCTCTCTCCTCATGGTGCAAGGTCCACCGTTGCAGGGTCACCAGAGACCATGCTTCTGTCGTAAGGCCCCTCAATAAGTTACGCTTTGTGTAATCTGGGCTTTGTCTTCTTTCTTTGGGCTCTGCCCCTTCCGCCTCTGGCTGCCGGTTCTCATTCCCTGTGAATCAGAAGTCAATAGGTCAAGAAGTAGCAACATAAGTCCCTTCTGCAGAAATATGGGGGTAGACAGCCTAGGAGTCACTGGGGGAGAGGTGTTTATTGTTTTTAGGCAGTGGGAGGTAGGGGTGAGGCTTCACTGTTCGGTTGGGTCCAGTTTAGAATACGTCTCGTAGAACTGTGCTCCTCAAATTCAGGCCAATGGCTCATGTCCCCGCTGCATAGGAGAATCCCCAGGGGACGCGGAGGTGCCTGGGCCGGGCCTCTGGCAGGTTCTTACTGCAGGGGTAGAGGCTGCAGTCTAAGCTTTAGAATCTTAAAGCATTTTTCCCAGATGGGTCCAAATCTTAGCCATCTTTGAGAACCACTTAAAACAGCGCGTCTAGAACTTTGAGAGAAATTAAACTCAACTTTAAAAGAAGCTAATGTGTAAATGAAGCACATAAGATAGCTCTAGGCACTCCATCCTGAGGTATAAACACTCCCGGTGGGGACGAGGAGAGGTTTCAAAGTTCAGCCTGACACGCTGCAGGCAGGCCTTACTGAAAACTAGGACACTTTGGTTCTTACCTGCCCAGAAACACAGCTCGTGGTCAACCTGAGATTCCTTTAATATAGAGCGAGTCATCTGGGCTATGGCAAATACAGAATACCTGGAAGATGCCAGAGGATTGGCTTCACACAGAGACATGAATGGCATGCATCTGATCCTTAGAAGGGTCAAAGGGCAGAGGTCATGAGAGTAATGGGAACCTGAGATGGGGGTGAAGGGGAGACGATGAGGTGGGGGTGGCTGGAACGAAGTCAAAGTTCAACTCCTCTAATTCCAGACAAATAGCTCCCCGCTCCGCTCTCTTAAGAAACCCCTTCAGACAGCAACTCTGGGTTTGCACATTGACTAATGACCCGGGCTAGCTGCTGGAGGCTTTCAGAAGGGATGGGCTCTGTCCCTGTCTCTGTTCTGGTCCCTGGGTCAAGGAGAGCTGTGCCCCCACTGACGGAGGGCAGCCACCTGCCCCTCTGCGTCTCCTTGGAGGAAAGGCCCCACTGGCGCCGTCTCCCCTGACACACCTACAGGGCCATCCTGCTGCCAGCTTCCTCTGGGTGCAGAAGCCTGCCCGTGATCCCCCTTGGGGCGCACTGTTACCCCCTCGATTTGCTGCAGTTTGAACCGATGATGTGTCTTGCAGCATTTACTCCTTTGAAAGGTTGAGTGATGGCACCCTGTAAGCAGGCAGAGTCTGACTGTACGTCATGCCTGCCCTGAGCAGGCTGCCCTGTCTCCACTCCCACTAAGAGATAAATGAGGAGGCTTCAAGTCGACGCAGAAAGGCCGGCGCCTTCCAGTGACCAGCAGCAGTCTGGAAGCATCCACTGCTGATCTCTCCTCGGTGCACTCAAACCCCTCAATGCTATCCCAAGTCTTAAATCCCAGCACTCACGGCCGCACCCCTAAAAATGGCACCTTTCCTAGTGGCATTTAAATGCCTGCGAAGGAGCACACACAGTCCTGATGGGTTGCTTTTAAAATAAACAACTCCAAGTGAATCACTGCTCTATCTTGAACACATTTTTTCCCATTGATTTTATTTACATTTTTAAATTTTTTTAATTTTATTTTATTAAAGATTTATTTATTTATTTGAAGGGCAGAGTTACAGAGAGGCAGAGAAAGAGAGAGAGAGAGAGAGGTCTTCCATCTGCTGGTTCACTCTCCAGATGGCCACAATGGCCGGAGCTGTGCCAATCCGAAGCCAGGAGCCAGGAGCTTCTTCCGGGTCTCCCACACAGGTGCAGGGGCCCAAGGACTTGGGCCACCTTCTACTGCTTTCCCAGGCCACAGCAGAGAGCTGGATCATAAGCAGAGCAGCCAAGACTTGTCAGCACTGCAGGCAGCGGCTTTACTCCCTACACCACAACACCGATAGATATAATGAGAAGGAAATGGCCAAAATAAATAACATTGCCTTTCAGATCCCTCATTAGCATTTGTAAAACTTACAAGATAAAGAAACTATGGGGGAAAATCTCACTCAAGTGCAAGCACCCGAGATGTCCAACATACAGGAAGTGAAGACCTCAGTCAATGGGAGACGGCGCCTTGTGTTGAACTTACTGCAGTTGACGGTTACCTTGCATCCTCCGAAACCTAGCACATCACACTATACAGCTCTAAGGCCACTCTGAGTAATCCGTATTGGAGATATGCTCTCCAAAAAGCCTAATAGGAAAAAAAAAAAGCCACTTAAAACAGTGTCTGACCCAGAGAATACGCTCAATAAACATTCTCAGTGGCAGAGCACTTCAGCAGGATACACTGGACGGTGGTCCCACCTTGAGTGCATAGCCAGCCCCATGCGGGTTCCAAGGACAATGACTGCTGGCTTGGTTAAACAGACGCGGCAGCCAGAACAGAAGGAAGCAGGCATCTGGGGGCAAGGGGAGGTTGGGACAGGCTGGGATGTTTCTGGAAGGAAGAGACCTTCAGTGTAAGGCTTGAGAAACTAGGTGTTTACCCGATGGACCCTAGGTTGGGACTTTTCCAGGCGGAAGCAGCAGAGCTTGTTAAGGGAGCTGGAGACTGGTGGGAGGGGCGCTGTGTTCCAGGGAAGGGGCCCCGAGGGTACCACTGGAAGGCCAGCGTGCAGCGGACACTGGAGACTCCTCCCCCTGCTCCCGGGCTCTAAGGAAGACCTTGCAGCAGGGGTGTGTTTGGATGTGTATTTAGTGAGTGTGGGCTGTGTTAAACAGCCACAACCACTGAGCTCTCTGGAGATTAAGAGACAATTGAGAAAAGGACAAGAGATTAGATGAAGGGGTTGAATAATAGAATCATGAACCAAAGGTACCCAGGGATCCAAGCACACGCAGATAGGAAAGACAAAGACGAGGAAGCTCAGGAGGGAGGTCTGGGAGGAAGGCAGGGATCTGTTGCTGAGAGGAGCGGGCCCTTGGGAGCTGTAGAATGAGCCGTCTTCAGTGGAGGAGCCCGAGAGAGCAGCTCTTGTCAAGATGCAGCTGGAGTGAGAGCAGGCAGGTACAGACTGCCCTGCCTGAGTTCTGAGGCAGAGTCATATTGGAGGGCTGTTGTGCCCCCCGCATGCAGGTTTGGGGCACAAAAGAGGGGGCACGAGGTGAGAACGCATGCCACAGGCCTGCTGGGCAGCCTGGAGTCCAGAACATGGATGTGTCTAACCTGGGCAGAGGTGGCTTCCATGCGCCTGCTGTTCTGCACCACCTGAGGCTGCGTCCTGATCCCTGAGCTCTCCCGGAGGACAACAGTTCTGTGCCCTCCTGAAAACGGCTGTGCCCCTGCTGCCAAGGAAGCCTGGGAGCAGACCTGGAAGAACTGGGCCCTGGCAAGAGAGAGAGAGAGGGAGAGACTGAGATCTTTCATGCACTGATTCACTTGCCAAGTGGCTGCAACAGCTGGGACTGGGCCAGGCCGAAGCTGGGAGCCTGGAACTCATTCCAGGTCTCCCACATGGGTGCAGGGACCCAAGCACTTGGGCCCTCCTCCACTGTCTTCCCAGGTGCATTAGCAAAGAGCTGGATTGGAAGCAGAGCAGCCAGGACTCAAACCGCCACTCCCATATGAGATGTGACAGTGGCTTAACCCACTGTACCACAACACAAGTCCCGTGTTGATAACTTCTTTTTAAGAGAAGGCAGTGGACTCTACCCAGCGACCTTCCCAGCTGTGGCCAGGAAGGGACAAAGGATGGCGTCCTGAGTTGGTGGGGGGCCAGGGTGAGCATCCCAAAGTAAGGGGAGAGTGGAACACTGTGACAAGATGGGCATATGTTGACTTCGAATATTAGACAACAGAAGGGGTAGGCAGCGTCTGCAGCCTTGCTGTGCCTGGTGACTGAATGAACGTGAATGAGGGCACCTCAAAGAGCTCATGGAAAATGGGCTTAAAAGATGTTTATTTTGGTGCAAAAAATTTTTTTGCAATCCATGTATTCATAGAAGGCATTTTCTACGAATTTTTTTGGAGAGAAAGTTTGCATGGATTTCAAAACTTGTTTCCACCAGAACCCACTCCTGCAAGTGCATTTTCCAAGAACTTTTTGAAGCACCCTTGAGTATTTGTGACCATTCCCTGCGCTGTATGCTTACGATGCGTGCGTTCGACTGTCACTTATGCCTCAGTGTGAAAATCCCCGAGAGTATGAAAGCCTCCACGTAGAGTGGCAGGCAGGGTCTCCACCCGCCGCACACGGCTGGGGGCAGGCGCTCAGCACAGCCAGGTCTAGCAGGAGGCCCCCCGGGGTTCCGGGCCAGAGCTCGCTTCTCATAGCCTCAGCAGCAGCCGGCGTGGCTTAGAACCTGCTGGTTCCAACGCATTTGGGAAAAGTTTCTGGCTTTTAGGAACAAACAGGATGAACAGGGCTAGAGGGGGAGGGGACTCAGAAGTACAGCCCAAGTAAAAATGAAAAATGCAGCCAGGAGCGAACTAGTAGAAGAACAAATGCTGTGGAATTCTCTGGCAAAGGGGCCCGAGAATCCCGCGGAGCAGCCCCTCACGGATCGGTGCCTTCTGACCACAGACGGGCAAACCGTCTGTGCGCAGCAGGGTGAGTGCCACGAGTTCTGTGCCCAGCCTGCACTTGACAATGAGCCTCTTTTCCCGCTGGCTCCGCCGGCCAATGCTCGCTCTGCAGAATGGGAACTCTGTCGGCGTGGCCGCCTGGCCCTGTCTCAGTGACCTCAGCTACCCACAGAAAAACACGTCTTTCCTCTCCAAGCCACATGGCCTCCCGCAGTGGAGCAGGACGCCGTTACCTAAGAGCTTGCAGGACAAACATTTCTCCCCGCTTCCCGCGCCGGTGTAGGCGTTGTTGCTGGTCCAGGCAGGAAGCTTGGAATCTCTGCAGCCGCCCTTCCTGCAAGGAACCTGGGGGCAGAGCAGCCAGGCCACACTCCCCTCCACTCACCTTTGGGGAGACTCCAGATCTCCCCAGGAGACAGGAACACGGGGAAAATGATCGCCCGGCTATTTCCTCCTGAGAGCCACTGTCGGGGTGATTTCAAATTCTCCTTCGTGGCTGCTATAATTAAGACAATAACTCAAAAAGTTTTCGAAAGGCAGCCAACATGAAAAGCCAGGGACCTCAGCCATCCAAATGTTCGCAGAACCTTCCCACAGGTTCTGGAAAAGGGAGCTTTGCAGCTAAAGCAAGAGGAGAAACCCTGCGTGTGTGAGGAGAGTAGGGGGAGTGAGTGCCGGAGCCTGGATTCGAGAGTGGCCGAGAGCCAGCGGGTGGCCCCAGCATTCCAGTCTCCCCTCTCCCTGTCCCCCCTCCCCTGGGCCTCCTGGCAAACACAGCAGCGGCTCCCTTGAACTTAGCTCAGAAACAAACTCCCCCTTCTGCCCTTCCAGGACCTCTGAGAGTCGAAGGGCTTCTGGGGCACCAGGGGCCCCCACCTTTCTCTGCCAGGGGAAGGGCTCAGCTCTTTTTTTATGGCCAGAATGTGAATCCCGTAATCACTTTGCTCCTGCTGTTGGGTTGGCCGACCCCGTGAAAGGATGGTTTTCATCAGAGAAGTGCTGTGGCTGCTACGGTATTTGGAATGGTGAGACGCCAAACCGAGGGGAAGAAATTGTTCAGAGATAGTTTCGCGATACAAAAACATCCAGGCCTCGAGGGAGGGAAGGGTGGACAAGTCCCCTGTTCCCCAAGTGGAGGGCCACCGGGAACCCAGGATCGGGCTTGCCCTGGCGTAGCTTGTGTGAAGCTTCCGTTGAGCCCAGTTCTAGACCTGGGCCCGTACATAGCTCAGGGCACACGGGCACACAGGCGCACGCAGAACCCCGGGCAGCAGTCTGGGCTGGTACTAAGCACGCTAATGTCAGCATGTGGCTTTGGTCGAGGTCCCCTTCACACTAACAGTGTGTGCCCGCGATGCCTGCCTACCACGTGCTCCTACAAAAATTCCAGCCCACCTGACGGTGACCTCGAGATCCATGTGGAGCCTCCTGCTTGCTTTTCAGACTTGGCGACACAGTTTGAGGCTGGCTTTAAGGTCTTGGGGACAGGACCGATGCCAGAATGCCCAGTTTTTCCACTTGCGTGCAGCATTTGCAGCCTGCAAAACATGTCTAAAATTATCCCTAGTTCCAAGTGCTCTCTGCACAATCAGCCTCTCCAATACAATAATTCCAAACCCGTTCTTGATTCCTGCTTTTAATAAAGTACATTTACAGAGGATATGAATTCCAGATTTGATTTCAGACTCTGGGGATGTATATTCCTCTTTTGGAACTTGTATATCCGGTCCTGGGATGAAAAAAAGGTGGGGGGGGGAGGGAAGGGGGAGGGTCCCCAGCATAACAAGCATTCCTTGTGCTCCTTCTCTTTCACACGCTGAGCACGCCGGAGGGACGAGAGCGCACACACACACGCACAGCGTCTGGATAAACTCAGGTAAGGAACGCTCTGGGGAAAAAGCCTCCCGTTGGTTGCCAGCTCCTTTCTCTTTCTAATGTGTTTTTGCAGATGGATGAAAACTGCAGCCAATAAGGCTCCAATTTTCAGCGATACTGGGGAGAGAGAAAAAAAAAGTAAGAAAAAGCAACCCTTTGTCCAATCGCTGTCCTCCTGTTAGCGCGGAGGCTGTTTTGAGCATCTGGCCTAAGGAGAGAAGCACAGCCCTGCAGTGCTCTGGAGCCCTGGGCACGCCAGCCCCCAGCCCCGGGGGACCTGTTCCAGGGTAACTCTCCAGCCAGAGCACTCTCCGGAAAGCAGGCTGAGGATGCGACTGTGGCCCCGTGTGTCGGCATGACCTCCTGTCCCCGTGTTCTGTGAGCATTTCTGCAGAGCCGCTGGGGAGGCTCGTGGACCTGCAGGGAACTGGGGTCGTGGCCCCACTGTGGTCTTGCTACCCGAGGGCCCGGGTTTCTGCACCTGTGAAATGGGAAAAGTGACAGCTGCCTCGCGTGTTTCCCACACTGGCAACACGGCGCAGATGAGCTCTCTTCTGCACTTAAGAGATGAGAGGGGCCTGCATTGTGCACGCCCACAGCCCGACATCTAACGTCAGAACGCTGGTTCCAGTCCCGGCTGTTCCACTTCTGATCCAGCTTCCTGCTGATGCACCTAGGAAGGCAACAGGTGATGGCCCAAGTGTTTGGGCCCCTGCCACCTTTATGGGAGACCTGGATGGAGTTCTAGGCTCCTCGCTTAGGCCTGGTACAGCCTTGGCTGAGTGGCCACTTAGGGGAGTGAACCAGTGGATGGAAGATTTCTCTTCCCACCCCCTGTGTCTTTCCAATAATAAATAAATAAGTATAAATCATTAAAAATTAAGAATAGCGAGAAAGAGAAAGCTAGACCATGGCATAGGGCCACCCAAGCACTCTCCTTACCCTCAGAGTGGAATGCAGAGGGACTTACAGAAATACTCGGGTTTTCCCTATGAGCCCCCATACACTGTCACGTGGGAAAGTGAATTTGTTCTAGCCCTCTACTCTCGGTCCGATCTCATGCTCTGGAAGAGTTGTCTTTAGATCATCCAGTCTCTTTCAGAGAAATGCCCGGATTCCGAGGTCTCTCCCCTCGCTCACCAAGATGGCACCCGTGTTCTTGTGGGAGGAGAGGGGCGGTCTCGATTCCATCTGGTGTTCCTTGGCCCCTCACCATGTCCTTTATAGGACGGCTGACCTGGGTTGTTCCTCGGACGGGGACCACTGATGTGCCGTGTGCCCCAGTCCTGGCGTTGGGTGCCTTGTGGTTCATTTTCCCTCTTGGCTGAGTCAGAGCCCAGCCCTCTGTTTTCCCTCATTTGGCCCCACCAGCTCTCCCTTGGCGCTGTGGGCCTTGAGTCTGCCTGTGACTGCAGTGAGGTTAGGGCCCATGCAGTTCCGTTTGTAGCCTTGGCCACAGCCCGTCTTGTTCCCACCACAGCCATCCCTGTCTGGGAAGGTCTCTGGCCTGCCTCCACCCTCCAGGGGGCACACATGGGCTCCTGATTCTTTCCACACCAAACAGGAACCAAGGGTAGCCTGGGAAAGCTAACCTTCGGCCCTTCCACTGCCTAACCACTCTGTATTGCTGACTCTACTCTGATGCGGCTGCCCCGGACCGCGTGGAGAGCCTGCGTTTCCACGCCGAGTCTTAAACAAGAGATGGGGGAGAGGACCCTGTGTTGGTTGTAATTTATCCAACGCATCTTCCCCTCGGGGCAGTCCAGAGACGGAAAATCAGCATCAGTGCCTCTCTCCAGCTTCTGTCTCCCTTCTCCTTGCGGTGCGCCGGGACAGCAGTGGGCAGCTTCCTGCCTCTGTAATCTATCTTTCTCTTCATTCCCTGAAGCACCTAGCATCCCGGCCTGGTTGTCAGAGGCAGAACCAGCACTCGCAGGCATGGAAATACTCACAGTCTGAGTCCTACCTCCAGGCTTGCTGTGCTAAGTGGAAACTAAAGAAATTCAGAAAATCCAATTTCTCCTTGAACAAAGCCGTGCTTTTGCGACTGTTGCCTCTACAAAAATCCCATATATATATATATATATATATATATATATATATATATATTTTTTTTGTTGTTGCTTGTGAGAACCTCACTACTAATGTATTTTACATTCGTGCTGGAGAAATCTAAAGGTAAACATGTGTCTCTGGCAGGATGGGAAGGGTGAAACAGTCAATGAAACACAAAAGAGAAAAACATATTCCTAGTATTCAAAAGATGTTCTCCCTGTTTCAGCCCGATGCGCTTCGGAACTCAGAAGGACTTCATTCTAAAACAGTGCTGAAGAACGTGAAGCACGAGGGTTCAGAAAGTTCACAATGTGTATCCTGAAAAGACTTACGTGTGGATTTCAAATTTTCGCACCAAAATAAACTTAGCTTTGAATTCCATTTTCCACACACTTGCTCAAGTGCCCACCTATAGTAACTTTCCTTTGATCAGGTTGATGTTTCCAAAGCGCTAGTCCCTTGGATGCTGGCCTGGGGCGACCGTCCCGTGGATGGCTTGTGCTTCATTTCATGAATGACCATTGAACAAGCTGGTTCTGAATGCCTAGCCGGGTCCTGCAAGCTGCTTTTCTGGAAAAATAATTCGTGGCTCGCTCTGAAACATCTGCTCTGAGCGACTTCCCATGCTCCAATGTACTCCTTTGGAGATTACAACTCAGATTGTACTTGCTGCGGTCTCGCACTTGGATGACTCACGTTAGCCTCGTTGCTACTCCTCTGTTGCCCGCACTTCCTGTGAGAAGCAGCTACCGTGGCCTGGGAGAACCATCAGAGAAGATGGGGACCCCAGCTGCTCAGAGAGGTGGGCAGACAACTCTACTCCAGAGAGTGGACTGGCCTTTTCGGGTGGAGGAGATAACATTGAGATAATTAGGCAAAATTAAACACTAGTCTCTCCAAGAACAATAAGAATCCAAGAAGGGAGGCTGGTCTGGGAAGACTTCATGATGGGGTGGGCCTGTGGCCTAGTACACATGATATATGTGTCCCACATTGGGGTGCCTGGGTTTAATGCCTGGCTCCAGCTCCTGATTCTAACTTCCTGCTAGTGCAGACCTAAGGGGCAGTAGTGATGGCTCAAGCAGTTGGGCTCTTGTTACCATAAGGGAGACCTGGATTAAGTATCTGGTTCTTAACTTGTACCTTGACCCTGCTCTGGCCATTGTGGGCATTTGGGAAATGAACAGGAGCATTCTCTCTCTCTCTCTCTCTCTCTCTCTGTGTGTGTGTGTGTGTGTCTGTATGTGTGTCATTGTGTCTCTCTGCCTCTCAAAAAAAAAAAAAAAAGACTTCATAGAACACTAGAGGATGCCTGGGTTGAGATCAGCATAAGAGCAGAGGAATAGGGGTGCGCCTTGTGGTGCAGTGGGTTAAGCTGCTACTTGAAACTCGCCGCATCCCCTGTCAGAGCACTGGGTTGAGTCCTGGTTCTTCTGCTTCTGACCCACTTTCCTGCTAATGCACCTGGGGAGGCAGTAGAGGACCATCTAAGTTCTTGGGTCCCTGCAACCCATGTGGGAGACCTAGATGGAGTTCTGGGCTCCTGGCACTGGACTGACCCAGCCCTGACTGTTGCACGCACTTGGGGAGTCAACCTGCAGATGGAAGATAGCGTGTTCTCTCTCTCTCTCTGCCCCCACCCTTTTCTCTGTCACTCTGCCTTTTTTTTTTAAGATTTATTTATTTATTTTACTTTAAAGTCAGAGTTACACAGAGAGAGGAGGAGAGCAAGAGAGAGAGAGAGAGAGAGAGAGGTCTTCCATTCACTGGTTCGCTTCCCAGATAGCTGCCAAGGCCAGAGCTGTGTCGATCCGAAGCCAGGAGCCAAGAGCTTCTTCCAGGTCTCCCACGTGGGTGCAGGGGCCCAAGGACTTGGACCATCTTCCACTGCTCTCCCAAGCCATAGCAGAGAGCAGGATTGGAAGTGGAGCAGCTGGGACTCGAACCAGCGCCCATTGGGATGCCGGCATTGCAGGCGGTGGCTTCACCCACTACACCACAGCGCTGGCCCCTACTCTGCCTTTCAAATAAATATTTTTAAAACGGGGATAAGAGAAATGACACAACGGGGTTGGGGGGGCAGTGAGAGCACAGACATGGGAACACTGCCTGGCACATGTTAGGATTTCGAGGAGAGAAGAGAATGCCGGTTCTGAGGAACTCCATCTTTCAAATAAATAAATCAATGTAAATTTAAAAAAATAAAAAATAAGAGTGATCGTTTGCTTCTAGCCGACTGGAACTTGACCTCGCAGCTGGCACATTTAACACAGACCCAAACAATGCCAAACGTCTCAGCCGTGTGGATGGTTCTGTTCTGTGCAACCGTACCCCTGAGTTTTCAACCAGCAGTCAAAGACATCATGAACCTGCCTACTACATCAGCTGCATGTGAGGCTCGGAAGCCGCATAGCTTCCGGGTAAGCTCTGGGTCCTGCCAACTGTTGTCACATCTCTGCTCCTCTGCCTGCTGTGTGGTTTGGGAAAATTGCTACATTTCTCTGGACCTGGGTTCCCTCACCCCTAAAGATGGAGATAATTTATACCTACCTACCTCAGTTGAGCACCTGACACTCAGCACAATGACTCGATTGTTGTAATGACTCAACAAAGGTTAGCTATTTCTTATTTCCATCAAATAAAATAACAGGAACTAAAACAGTTTGTAAATGTCAAAGTGTTCAAGTGTTCAACAGAGAATTACTTTTGGAGAGACGATGGAGTGGATTGGAGACGTGTTGGACGTGGAATCTTGGTTCCAACACTGCATCCGGCGCCAGTGGGTTCTGTTACTCAAGTCAAGCCTCTTAGGAAGCCTTAATTTCCTCCTGTAAATAATCATCTACTTACTGCTTACCATGGAGTTCCAGAGAGAGAGAGAGAGAGAGAGAGAGAGAGGGAGAGGGAGAGGGAGAGGGAGAGGGAGAGAGATGATTCATGTGAAGGTGTTTTGTCCACTACAAATGCTTTGCAAACGAAAGGCAACAATTAGGTATTATCATCAGTACTAAAAACCTGTACTTCATTTCTGTGTAACGGTCAGAATGAATACAGAATTCATTGGAAGTACTTTCACCAGGCCATAAAATAGCATTCCCTCCAAATCTTATTTACACAGGTTTCGTGGCTTAATTGCCCAAGGGGCTGTGCAGTAGACCCCTGAAGAGGAGTGAAATCTTGGGTTGCTTTACATTGGCCTGGGCTTTGGAAATGGGAAGCAGTCACTCTGAATAGCATCACTGTTGAGCTTTGCACGTCTATTATTTATCTTGGTGAGGGGCCACGGTGGGGTGGGGGTGGGTTTTGGTGGGGTGGAGAAGAGGAACAGGGTCAACCGTAGAACTGTGAATTTCCTCCCTAACCGGTCTTTTTAGGAAAAGCCCCGGGCTTCCTCGTTCCCAGGGACTGCGTCTCTCTCAAGGCTGAGTCGTTAGTATGGACAGCTCAGCTCCTAAGAAAACAGATCTTTGAAAGGCGCGACAGAAACAAGTTCTCCCTTGACCTCAGACTGCTCCTGAAGCCCAGGGTTCATGTTTGCACTCTACACATCAATCTCTGCCCCCCAGGGGGGTCGGGGGCTGGCAGGCTGGGAGCAGGGCTCACGGCACCCTTCAATCAGGCGTGGGCTGCGAGGGCGGGCTGTGCATGACCCGAGCCCACTGAGAGTCTCTCTCTAGTCCTTTGGTATTCCCTGGCAGAACGTGGTTCTGTACCGGCCTTGGACCAGAATGGAGCAGAGATCTGAAGTGGACTTTACTCCCAGCCAGCGTAGGAGAGGGATGCTTCTGGCACCTCAGGCCCCTCTCTCCTTCCTTCCAGTGTGTATTTGTGTGGTTTTAAATTTGTGGAGATTACATACATGCATTTCAAAGCTTGATCTAGGAGTGGAGGAGTTCTGTTTGTTGCCTGCACGAAGGCACGCGGTCTCTCCTCGGCTGTGGATACCCATGGGACCCAACCTTTGGAGCCACTGTGCTGGAAGCATGGAGCCAAGCTGGAAACAGGGGGACAGTTTCCACCCACAAGATGTAACTGACAGCTCCCCACGCCAGGTCCTGCCCTTGGCCCCTTCCTCCCAGCCGTTGGCAATAGCAGTGGCTGGAACTGGCTCCAGTCTGGCTCAGGCCCTGGGGCTCTGAGAGAGGGAAGCCACCTCTGGCTCTCAGCAATCCTTATAGGAGCAACTTTGGGCAATGCAGTGCCTGCACAATAAAACGTAACATTCAGTTTTAGAATGTGGGCCTTTCCTTTACTTTACAGAGTATTGGGGTGACATTTGGAAATCGTAGTCAAAGTACACTTTCAGCATTATTTCTACTCAATATTTTATCATTTTTAGATAACTTTTTTATAAAAGATTTATTTATTTACTTGAAAGGCAGAGTTACACAGAGAGAGGAGAGGCAGAGAGAGAGAGAGAGAGATCTTCCATCTGCTGGTTCACTCCCCAGTTGGCTAAAATGGCCAGAGCTGTGCTGATCTGAAGCCAGGAGCCAGGAGCTTCCTCCAGGTCTTCTATGTGGATGCAGGGTCCCAAGGACTTGGGCCGTCTTCTGCTGCTTTCCCAGGCCATAGCAGAGAGCTGGATTGGAAGAGGAGCAGCCGGGACTAGAACCGCACCCATATGGGATGCCGGCACTGCAAGCAGCAGCTTTACCCACTATGCCACAGCGCCGGCCCCGAGATAACATATTTTTAATTTTCATTATAGCCAAAGGCTTAATGGCTACACTAAAGAGCTCAATGAATAAAAAAAGTGAAAAGACCATGGTCTAGCAGGAAAATAGGCAAAGGCTATAAACAGTAATCAGACGAAAAGACACTCAGCTTCACTTTGAGTGCTATTAATATGGACTTAAAAGGGGAGGAATCTCTAGGTTAGTTCCTGCCACCAGTTTTCAACTGATCCTGCTTGCCTTCTCCAAATCCTTTATCGGAATTTTTATTTCTTTGTTTCCATTTAACTTGAAAGGCAGACAGACACAGAAATCTTCCATCTACTGGTTTACTCCCCAGGTGCCTACAATAGCCAGGGCCGGGCCGGGCTGGGCCGGGCCAAAGCCAGGGCCGAGAAGTCCGTCTCAGTCTCCCGGTCTCTGAGCTGTCTGCTGCCTTCCTAGGGTGTGCATTAGCAGAAAGCTGGATAGGAGGCTGTGGAGCCAACCCCCGAAACAAGAGCTTGGATGCCAGTGTCCTAACCTCTGTGCTTAAAGCCCACCCCAATCCTTTACTTAATCCGAGCAGGCCTCGTGGCTGGGAGGGGTGAGGGCTGTTAGCAACCTGCCTTCTGCAAAAGCACCGGCATTTAATTTTTTAAGTGCATGAAATACAAAGTTAAATGTATTTGCAAATTGACATTTTTTCTGTTTCATTAGCCTCAACACATTAACATCTGATTTAGAGGTCAGTGTTATAGCCCAGTGGGTTAAGCCACTGCTTACAATGCCAGCATCCCATATGGGATTGCTGGTTTCGGTCTTGGCTGCTCTGTGCCATTAACAGTAGGCTGATCGGAAGTGGAGCAGCCGGGACTTGAACCAGCGCCCATATGGGATATCAGCATCACAAGCAGCAGGTTTATCTACTACACCACAATGCCAGACTCCCTGTTTTTTTTTTTTTTTTTTTAATGATTTAATTGTTTTCCAACAGGTGCACCACCTGGGAATAAAGTTGTGGTTTGCTGTCTCCCAGGGGGCGTAGCCAGCGTGGTGCATTAGGACAGAGGAAGCAGAGTAACTGAACTCATTTGTAACAAGATCTCATTCCTCAGGAGGTGTTCAGTAAGGAGAACTGTACCTTTTTTTCTTTTTTTTACTTTGAGAATACTTACCTTGTAAAAATTAAAAGTACCCCAAGGGACATTAGTATGAACGTTCTGCAAAGCAGCGCAGCACAACGCGGCCCCAGTTGAACATCTCAGCGTGGGCACCCCCCACCCCCACCCCCCCACCCCACCCCCCGGGCCCAGGTAATTCAGAGAAGTGCGTTTCCGCCAAGACAATGCTATGCGAGTGCAAAACGCTGGGCGGTTCCTGCGCGGGGGAATCATGAGATAGCTACGCCATCATCCCTTATTCCGGATCTGGTAAGAAGGCGGCTGGCACCATGAGCAATTTGGTGATGCCAGGCTAGCCAGTCAGAAGCCGGACAGTGACACCGACTTCTGCCACTACCAACCACATCATCAGAGACAACGGGGGGAAGAAGTTTCTCCTCCTTCCCTCCCCAGGTTTGGCTCGGTCCAGTTTACTGAAACTCATGGCTTTCAGTAGGGTGGCTGGATAATTTCAGGCTTACAAATGGAAGGAGCAGCCCTGCCTGCCTCCCCGCGGGCTGGGGTTGTTGGTTTCTGATTCATGGTGTGTGGCAGAGAGCCCTGGATGGAGGTTGAGCATGGCTTCAGTCCTGTTTGGATAACTAGCACCCGGGGTCCATGCAAAGAAAAGAAAGACTAGTTGATCAATTGTCATCACCATCCAACATCCTGCGCACTTGAAGTCACCTACGAAGATTCTGTCACTTTCTGGGTCCTAAAAACATGCCACCAGCTGACACTGACACAGGATCGGAGCCCGGGGCCTCCTGGGAATGCACTCGTGGGGGCTGGGTTGGACTGCGCTGTAGAGCCTGGAGTCTGGTGTTGCCTGCATGAGCACCCCCCAGTGACAGTCACCTGCAAGTGTTTCCCGCCTCCAGCCTGGGGCAGACTTCCGGGTTCTGGGCCCCCATAAGTTGGTGATTGAAGCTGCCGTGTAGAGCATTTCTTTGGTCCGCTCTCTTTCCCAGTAAGCAGCCTTGCTCTGCTCCAGTGACAGGTCCCACAGATAACCCACAGAGTATTCTGTGTGTTACTAATGCTTACAAGGTACTTGCATCAGCTGGAATAGGCAAGACTGTGCCCTGATAACAAGTTACAACGCCAGACCCCAAAGCCATCTACACGCGCAGCACCAAAAACAGAAGACTCCTTGGGGGTCCTCAGCAGGAAGAGACCAGGCCTCTGGCTTGTTCTGCAGTGCTTCAGCCTAAAAGATTCTTTCTCTCCACCTCCCCCCGCCCCCCGCCCTTTCTTCCTATCACGCTTCCTTCCTTCCTTAAGATTTATTTGCGGGGCCGGTTCTGTGGCGTAGTACATTAAACCCCCACCTGCGGAGCAGCGTCCCATATGGGCGCCAATTCTAGTCCCGGCTGCTCCACTTCCAATCCAGCTCTCTGCTAGTGGGCTAGGAAAGCAGCGGAAGATGGTCCAAGTGCTTGGGCCCCTGCACCCACATGGGAGAACCGGAAGAAGCTCCTGGCTCCTGGCTTCAGATCAGCTCAGCTCCGGCTGTTGAGGCCATTTGGGGAGTGAACCAGCAGATGGAAGACCTCTGTCTCTCCTCTCTCTGTTTCACCCTGCCTTTCAAATAAATCATTTTTCTAAAAAAGAGATATTCCACCCATTGGTTCACTCCCCAGATGTCTACAGGGCCTGGGTTGGGTAAGGCTGAAGCCAGGAACCTGCAGCTTGCTCCGGCTCTGGCACATCAGTGTCAGGGACTCAAACACTTGGCCGTCATCATCTGCTGCTTTCTCAGGTACATTAGCAGGGAGAGGTGGAACGCGAACCAGCACCGCGATATGAGATGCTGGCATTGCAGGGGACAGTTTAACCCACTCCACCACAACACCAGCCCCGTAGATGTTATTGTTGCTCACAGAAATTTTGGTGGGGGGGTCCCCTTGTTCCATGTAATCACAAGAGGCCTGGGAAGACTGATGTCCTTCACATTGCTGTGATGAAATACTGAGGCTGATACCGTATAAAGAAAAGAGGTTTGTTGAGTTCATGATTCTGGCAGCTGGTGAGGCCTCTTTAGGGCCTCCTGGCTGCATCACATGGTAAGAAGTGGAGGGGGAAGTGGGCGGGTCCAGAGACCTAACCCACCCCTACTCCCATAGGGCGGTGCCCCCATGACCCAGCTGCCTTCCTCTAGGCTCCCCCTCTTACAGGCTCTACCACCGTCCAAAGTGTCACCGTGTTGCAAAGCTTCCCTCCCAACAATCTTGGAGGACGGACCACGTGGAAGACACAGCAGCTGGTGTTCCCAGAGAGACGACAACCAGATTTTGGTGTGCGCGAGTAACAGTCTCCCAGGATGCCTCTGCTTTTGCTTCAAGCATGAATTATTTATTTACTTAATAGAATGAATAAGTACCAGGCCCGCAGGGAAGATCTCACCCAGGGCAGTGCAGATGTGCTGCGAATCCTTGCAAGTTGGCCTCGGTAAGCCTCAAGCAGGGACAGGCAAGGGTTCAGAGTTTTGTTTTTCATTGTTTTTTTCTTCTCCCCCCTCCTATTGAAAAGGCCAAAACCAAAGATGTTTTAAAGGATGCCACGGCAGCAAGCCAGAGACCCCGGCTAGTGGGGCCTGGCCTCACTGAGATGAGGGTCCCGCTGGGCCAGCCCTCGGCACCTTGTGGTCCCATCCGCCCGCGGGCAGGCACGTTCAGCCCAAGTCCTCCTGCCGGAACCCACCGGCAGGCCGGGCGTGCGGAGATGCGCACATCTGACTTACTGGAAGAGAAACCACATCAGAAAGCCTGCGACACGACAGCGTTGAGGCACCAACCCCACATCAGAATGCTTGGGCTGGCTGAGAAGCCCTGAAATGTCGTGTGTATTCTTCACTGGGAATTAAGAACATGTGGGCCCACTCCTAATTATAGCCCACCCTAACGTGTCTTTAATTAGGGATTGAGACACTTGGGCTGGAGGGGCCAGATTGGATTCAGCTACGAGATGCAAGCCGCATTTACTGGGTCAAACTTCCAGCAAACTTAAGTGGCCTGAACACAGTAGGTACTCCAAAGTTTTTTTTATGATGACAGTGATGATGATATGTGTGTGACTTACAGTGACAGGATGAAAATGAAGCCAAGTTTATTCTGCTGGCTCTTTAGAGAATGTAGACGTAGACAAGAGGACTTCAAAACGTTCACGAACAATGGAATTAAAAGATAAGTTCAGGGGCCAGCGTTGTGACATGCAGGGTCAAGCAATGCCGGCGTCCCATGTTGGAGCACTGGTTTGAGTCTCAGCTACTCCACTTCCCATCCGGCTCCCTGCTAATGCACCTACCCAGGATATTCACTCTCAGAATTTGCTGTGTGTGTGCCTTGGAGTCGTTCAATTCAGATAGTACTCGCAGGTGACCAGATTTCCTTGTTTTTGGCCTGTGTCACCGTTAGTGCATATCACCATCCCCTGAAATCATCCCCAAAATAGCACAATCCAACACCAAAAAGAACTGCCAAATTGTACAGATTTTACAGACAGGTTTATGCAAGCTGGAGGTAGATTGCCATGGCCCACATAGGGAAATTGACTCCTACCCCACCCTAGGGAACAGCTCATCCTCTGCGCTTCTGACCCTAGAGTTACCTCTTCCTTTTCCCATGAAAGTCAGTTGTATCCCAACTTGCTTTCTCTCCTTGCACACTCACCCCTCGCCCTGCTCTGGAAAGTGATAGATTCTCCTCAAGAGGCTTAATGATTATTATCATTTATTTGAAAGGTAAGATTACAGAGAGAGGGAGAAACAAACGTTCGCAACAGCTGGGGCTGGGCCGGGCTGAAGCCAGGAGCCTGGCTCTTCATCCTGCCTTCCCATGTGAGTGGCAGGGGCCCAAGTACTTGGGCCATCTTCTGCTGCTTTTCCAGATGCATGAGCAGGGAGCTGGGATCAGCAGTGGAGCAGCCAGGACTCAAACCAGTGCTCATATGGGATGCAGGCATTAGAGCTGGCAGCTTAACCCACTGTACCACAACACCGGATGCTGTCTTCTTAATGGCAGGGGGTAGGATCATAAATAGTGAATAAATTTACTCTTCCGTCTGTCACATGCATTGTCTCACAAAGAGTTTATATTGTTTAGTAACCAACTTTATTTTCCTCAAGGGTATATTCTATGATATTGGAGAACTCTTAAAGTTCTGATGCGATTATTTTACATGATAGACGAGCAAGGAGAAGCAGGTGTTGGTCCGTGCTTCGAGACACTACTGGCAGAACACTGTTTCGGTCACATCCTTTTGGGAACTAAGAGTCATTCTGAGTGTGCTTAAGTTAGTCTTCAAAAGGGTTTGCTCTCAATATACTGTGTACAAGAGAAGAATCTGTATGGTCCCCAAGACCTGACCCGATGAATGTTTTATTTCTACTATTAGTCAAACTGTTTTGTGAGTTTAAGTGAGATTGAGCAGTTGCACCTGTAACTGTTAGCTTTGCTTTCCCCCACGTGGTCCCACACCTACACCTCTGATCATAGAGTACATCAGCCAATCAGAGAAGAGCCTGAGCCTCATTTGTGATTAACAACTTTGTCATCTGCACCAATGGGAGCAATGAACTTCTAATGACCTTGGATTCCTTACCTAAGGAGAGACGAACCCCATGCTGAGAGAGAGGCTGCTGGCACACGTTTGAGTCATCTAAATTAGCGTGTTGTCACAAGGATCTGAAGACCACTATCTGTGAGATTAATGACAGCCACACACTGACAGAGTACTTACTGAGACCTGGGGTCTGTGCCTGTGCCCCTGGAAGCGTGCATGGATGTACGTACTGATTGAACCAATAGAATATGATAGAAGTCATGCCTCGGCATTTTCTTGCTCCGGGGCTTGAGGGATTGGCAATTTCTACTTCCTGTCTCTTGGAACCCAGCCTCCATTCTGTGAGGAAGCCCAAGTAGCCCGAATGGAGAAGTCGTGTGAACAAGAGCTGCAGCAGATAGCCAGCTCCAACTTGCTGCCATGGGACTAAGCCGTTTGGCCAATGGACCTCCCAGCCCTTGTGAGCCGCTGCACCCGATGCTCCTTGGGGTGTCGATAAGCTGCCCAGCAAGTCCTTCACCCTTTCCTGACCGTGAGACTGTGAGCAAGGTGCAGTCCGACACTAGGTTTTCAGCTCGGCACCCGGCGATAGCTAACCAGAACACATCTACATCGCCTACAGCTCTTCAGCAGTGTTTGTGTATTTGTTATATGCCTTCTGTGTTAGTCAGCTTCGGGTGAGCCTAACAAAATGCCGAGAGGAGCTCTTGGGAAGGAGAAGGTTTATCTGAGCTTCCAGTGTGGAGGCTGCCGGCTCCAGATCAGACGGCCCCGTGAGTCTGGTGTCTGGAGGCTCGTGAACAGGTGCAGAAGAGCAGTCGCATGGTGAGCAGGACGCAGAGAGGTGAGGCTGGACTCAGCCAAAATGGCCAAACCTCTTGCGAGGTCTGGCTTCTTAGGACAAGCCCTTGTTGACCTCAAGACCTCCGACTGAACCCACCTCCTGGCTGTCATAATTAGATCAAGCCTCTACCCTAATCCATCGATCGTTAGCATTAATCCATTCACTGTAAACATGAGGCTTTGAGGATTAAATGTCTGCCTGAGTGTGGGGAGCCAAGACCTGTTCCATGCAGAACACTCCTCTTACGTTATGTGCATTGTGAAACATACAGGAAGTAACATCGGCTCGATGTAGGTGGAAAGTTCTAAGATTTTCTTCTCAGGCCAGTGGTTTATTTTGACATCTACAGGTTTTGGTCATCACTGGTCTAGAATAGATGATACCTGAGATCCAATGCAATGCCAGTGAAGTCTCCCAGTAAATGGTTGAATGTCTAAAAAACAGGAGTGGATACATAGCACTTAGCTAGACGATAAACGTCACATCTGGACACAGATTTGGCCCAAGCAAGAATGCCTACACTGTGAGAGTAGAAGGCGATTTTGACAATTCTATACTTTTCTCTTTTAAATTACCATACCAAATAGACTTTTTTTTTTAGGATCATGGGTTTAAGATCAATCAATTAATTTGAATCTTGCTGCAGCCTACTGTGCTAGTCCAAAATAATTCCATAGTGTATGAACACTATTTCATGTCAATAATTAAAAGTCCACATCATTATTTTAATAAATACATGTTATTCCAATAGGTGAACACATTGGTTTTTTAAAAAAAATGTTTATTTATTTGAAAGGCAGAGTTACAGAGAGAGAAGGAAAAACAGCAATGGAGAGAGAGAGAGAGAGATCTTCTATGCACTGGACCATCCCCATTTGGTCCCAACAGCCATTTTGGCTGGGCCAAACTAAAGCCAGGAGCCAGGAACTTAATCTGGGTCTCCTATGTGGATGCAGGGGCCTAAGTAGTTGGGTCATCTTCCACTGCTTTCCCGGGAGCTTAAGAAGGGAGCTGGATCAGAAGAGGAGCATTTGGGACTTGAACTGGTGCCCATATGGGATGCCGGCATGTCAGGCAGCAGCTTAATCCACTGTGCCACAACACTGACACTGAACATACCATTTTTTTAACCCACAACTTATCATTGCATTAGGCTGTTTTGGTCATCAGAACAATCATCCTTATGGCTAAATCTTTGCCTCTGTCCTTATTCATTAATGTCCTCCAGAAACATTCCTAGAAGAATGGATGGCTCTACACAAACACTGGACGTGAATATGCATTATCATATTTCTCCCTAGAGAGCATGTACCAATTTATAATTTTTCCCAACAGCATCCCTTTCCGACACCTCCAACAGTAATTGACACTGTTGGACACCAGCTCAATCATGGCTGCTCCGCTCCGATCCTTATTGTGCCTAGAAAAGCAGCAGATGATGGTTCAAGTGCTTAGGCCTCTGCCACCACATGGGAGGCCTGAATGGAGTTCCAGGCGCCTGGCTTCAACCTGGCCCAGTGCTGGCTGTTGCACTCATCTGGGGAGTGAACCAGTGGATGGAAGATCGAACTTTCTCTCACTCTCTCTCTGTCTCCGTCTCTCCCTCCCTCTCTCTTTCTCTGATGCTCTGGGTTTCAAGTAAATAATACAAATCTTAAAAAAAAAAAAAAAAAAAACAACTTGGTACTCTAAGAAAATGGTTTTGTCAATTTCATATAAAGATTGTGCTGTGCATACACATGTGACTGTGACATGTCCTTTATGTATCAAAGTCGGCCTCTGGGTTTTGCCTTTGTATCTGTTTTTCTTATTTATTTTCATTAGCTGCCTCCCCTTTGTGTGTGTGGAAAGGAAGAAAGCATACTGCAAATAAATAGGTCTAGAGGGTGTTTTCTTGTTCTGAGACAGAAACAGCAGTTCTCTTAGTCAGTAACTCCTTTTATTTGCAAATATAAACACAATTCCAACTGGCTTAAGCAAAACGGGCGTTCCTTAGCTCACAGAGTTTCAGGCACTGCCGAACTCGGTGGTTCAAATAACAGCATCAAGGTTCTCCCTCCCTTCACTGCTTCAGCTCTGGTGCCTCTGCTCGCCTTCATTCCCAGACGGACTCTTGCCTCACGTCTGCAAGAACCCAGGAAAAGGTTTTTCTAAGAGCGTTAGCAAAAGGCCCGGGGAAGACTGGGACTGGCCAGCTTAGGTCACGTGCCCACACATGAGCCAATCACTGTGGCCAGAGAAATGGAATACTCCGACCCATCAGGCCTCACTTCTGGATCTTCAGTTAGTTTGTGGCGAAACCTACCAGATCCCTAAGTGAATATTAGAGACTTGAGGGCTGGATCACTCTGAAAGAAAGGATGTCAGGAAAAAAAAAAAAAAAGATTTTACAGGTTTTAACCAGCCCATAGCTCTTTCTGGGTCTCTAGGGAAAGGTGATTCAATACAATACAAATATGGTCAATACAATACAAATATGTCATTGCTACCTGTGGTAGTTCTCCAAGCTTCAGGTTTCTCATTCATCAAAGGGGAAGATATATCCCCACCTTGCCTACTTCAAGTGATTATGTTAAGGCCTAAATGAGATTGTAAGTGCAAAAGTGTTTGCCAAAACATAAAGTATGAGAGGGTCTTCAAATTCTTCACATAGGGGCCAGCATTGTGGCACAGCCGTTAAGCCTCATCCCACATTGGAATAGCAGCTTGAGTCCCAGCTGCTCTACTTCCTATCTAGCTTCCTGCTAATGGGCCTGAGAAGGTGTGGGAGATGGCCCAAGTGATTGGGCCCCTGCCACCCATGGGGGAGACCAGGATGATGGAGTTCAAGGTTCCTGGCTTCAGCCTGGCTGAGACCCGGCTGTTGCAGTCATTTGAGGAGTGAACCAGCAGATGAAAGATCACTCAGTTTCTCTCTCTCTCTCTCTCTCTCTCTCTCTCTCTCTCTGCCCCCCCCCCCCATCTCTATGACATTGTGCCTTGCAAATAACTAAATAGGTCTTATAAAAGTTTGTGGAAAGTGCATATTATGAAAAATTGTGTGCAGATTTCAAATTATTTTCCTCCAAATGAAACTTGTCTTTCAACTTCATCTTCCATGAACCTTCTTGGGTAGCCTCATGTCATGCAGTGTACACTGGCTTCAAATAAAAACAAGACTAGAATATTCTGTGTGTTCTTAACCGTAGCTTCACAAGAGCTCCTTCCTTGACGTCTAATGAAATATCTGTGCATTGTGGCTCTGAGGCCGGCACGCTCCCTCAGCCTTGACTGCGTCTAAACAGTTCCCTTTAATTGTGTGCGAAACCTTGGTGTGCTGTGTCCTCAGGAAGCCAAACGGGGTAGCAGCCATCGTCACTCTTCAAAGTTAGAAGTGGTACTGACGAGACACAGTGCGGCTTTCTTTCTGGGAACATGTGCATCCTGTCTGTCTTTGCTTTCCAGCGAACGAGCAAGCCCCTGACCTTCCTTAACACAGGAACAACCCACGGTCCGACGCAGGGCAGCAGGGAGGCCCAGAGCACACGGGGGCAGTGTGGAAGGGTGTCTGCTGACTCCCATTTCCATGGAGAAGAAGCCGAGGCCTGCGGGCTCTCTAAGGAGCTGAGATCTTTCGGATTTGTTTGGAAACAGCCGCTTGCTGGCAGTGGCCAAGCTCATGGAATTATGCACTGGGACCTGTGTGGGGCCCGGTTACCCAGGGAAAGTGCACTGATTGTTCTCTATCAACAATAGAGAACAGCTGATGCTTTGCGCCCAACAGGAAACAATATGTGGCAATGTGCCCATGTCTCTGCTCACACCTGCCAGCCTATGGCAGGGGGTGGGAAGCCCAGCCGGCCTCCGAGCAGGGAGCGCTCGTGTGTAGGTTATTGTGGGTAGAATAGTGGTTCAAAGGCATATCAGCTCCCCAGCTCGAGCCCCGTCCACGCCACAGGTTGTCCCCTCAAATTCCCACAGCTGAGACAATTCCTTCAGAGGTATCATCCCTCACAAAGCCCTGTAAGATAGAAATATAGGGAGAGGGTAGGGGAAAGACAGAAAAATCCATTAAATCCTTATCTTCCCCTCCATTATTATCCCCCAAGAAACTTAAGAGTGCTTTTTAAAAGGTTCGTGGAAAATGGAATTAAAAGATCAATATTGGGGCTGGCACTGTAGCATAGAAGGCTAAGCCTCTGCCTGTAGTGCTGGCATCCCACATGGGTGCTGGTTCAAGTCTTGGTTGAACCGCTTCCAGTCCAGCTCCCTGCTAGTGCACCTGGGAAAGCAGTGGAAGATGGCCCAAGTGCTTGGGCCCCTGAACCCACATGGGAGACCAGGAAGAAGCTCCTGGCTCCTGAGTGGCCTAGCCCTGGCCGTTGTAGCCATTTGGGGAGTAAACTAACAGATGGAAGATTCTCTCTCACTTTCCCTCTCTTTTTCTTTCTCTCCCCCTTCTCTCTGTATCTCTGCCTTTCAAATAAATATTTTTAATTTATTTGAAAGAGTTACAGAGAGAGGTAGAGACAGAGAGCAAGGTCTTCCATCTGCTGGTTCACTCCCCAGATGGCTGCAACGGCCGGAGCTGTGCTGATCTGAAGCCAGGAGCCAGGAGCTTCTTCTAGGTGGGTGCAGGGGCCCAAGGACTTGGGCCATCTTCCACTGCTTTCCCAGGCCATAACAGAGAGCTGGATTGAAAGAGGAGCATCTGGGACAAGAACCGGCATCCATATAGGATGCTGGCGCATCAGGCCAGGGCTTTAACCCGCTGTGCTACAGCGCCGGCCCCTGCACATATTCTTTTTTTTTTTTTTTTTTGACAGGCAGAGTGGACAATGAGAGAGAGAGACAGAGAGAAAGGTCTTCCTTTGCTGTTGGTTCACCCTCTAATGGCCGCCGCCGGCGCACCATGCTGATCCAATGGCAGGAGCCAGGTACTTACCCTGGTCTCCCATGGGGTGCAGGGCCCAAGGACTTGGGCCATCCTCCACTGCACTCCCTGGCCACAGCAGAGAGCTGGCCTGGAAGAGGGGCAACCGGGACAGAATCCGGCGCCCCAACCAGGACTAGAACCCGGTGTGCCGGCGCCGCAAGGCGGAGGATTAGCCTAGTGAGCCGCGGTGCCGGCCTTGCACATATTCTGAAAACAACGATGCATGGATTTTTTTTTTCAGATGCACCAAAATAGTCTTACCTTTTTCAAAGCTGGTATTCCTTTATCTGAGAGGCATAGAGACGAAAAGAAACTGAGGGCGAGAGCTCTCATCTGCTGTCTTACCCCCCAAATGCCTCACACGGCTCCCAGCCAAGCCTGGAGCCAGGAGCTCAGTCCGGGTGTCCCACACGGATGGCAGCCACCATCACTCCTAAGCCAGACACTTCCATGTCGGATGCAGGTGTCTTAACTACTAGGCTAACCCCCTTTTATCTTTTAATTCCATTGTCCCACTCCTCCTGATATGAAGGGCTCTTGGGTGCAGGGCAGGGGACCGGGCAGAGAGGGTGATTAAATAGGGACCCCAGATCCTGGCAGGGGCTGCAGAGTCTTGGAGACCAGTGTTGCCTCTGAGGCTGGCAACTCACGTTAGAAACTACTTGGAATGCCTCGCTGCACGCTGTCCTGTCGCTCCGCGCTGGGTCACATCTGACCTCGTGTCTCGATTTAAATAAAGAGGAGACAGCAACAGCCTCCTCCGTCTGTCATCTTGACTGCAGACTTGGCCCAGTGACTGTTTACGTCTCAGTGCCCCGGGGGACGCCGCCGAGAG